CGAAAACAAAGTGATGGTGAAAGATACATCTATGTTGGCGACGGCAAGACGGTGGATGTAACACCCCCAAATCTAGATACCTAGGTCTGGAAGTATTATCACTTTATTCTCTTTTTAAAATCATAAATGCAGAAAACGATTAAATTTTTCTATGTTGAAATAATTTGTGGTCAACAAAATATAGAACGATTAAATTGAATTTTTAAATTCAATTACAAAAATGAATTCAACATTTAAATATGATAGTACTGAGTCTGTGTCACCAACAAGTCGTCACTTCGCATCATCTTGCCTTCATCATCTGAAAATGGGAAGGAATAGCATGGGATGAGCTAACGCTCAACAAGCAAATCTCATACATATGATGCATGATATGCATATGAACTACTTTTCAATAAAAAGTATTTTTATTATGTATCCCATTTTCTTTCACTTCTTTAAAAACTTAACATTGACGTCGTGAGCTCACTTGGTGTATAATTTAGCCAATCAGAATGCAGTGGAAAATTATTATTTAGAACCCGGTCGAGTCCTACCAGTACTATCGCAAAGCGGTTAACATTAACATTATCATTGAACATTGGTCGAGTGCGCCGATCTCCCACACCCCATTTTCTCACTCATACTTTTCATGGCATAGACATACACCTCGTAATAAAACATTCATGTTAAATATCTTTAAAAACATTTATTGACTCATTGACATTTAGAAACTTTTTATTTCTTGAAACTTCATGTATGCTTATAAATGCATTGACACGTATGAATATGTCATGACAAGCATTTATGACATAAAAGTAATGATCAAATATCGTGTTTACATAATGACAACTTAAGTAACACGTTTATGTATTTAACCATATAACGTACAAATGAAAATAAGGTGAGGTTTACTTATCGGAACGCTTAACAATGTACTTTTAATTAGATACCAAGAGGAGATGTCCCTAGTCGCCAACTAGATCAACGTGCCAAAATCCTAAATCATTACAACTTATTAAGGAATTTTAATATGCTCAATTCTTTATTTGTTAATATCTATTTTGAATAGTTAGAAAGAAACATCAACACGTAATCTAAAGGTGTACAAGATGAACTACATGAATTAATTGTAGTTAACAACCTTCAGAGCCAAAATAATTATTCATTTAAGGGGTTGATTAATAACCAATAATCACACAAAAGAGCAAATTACAGAAATAAATTTGTAAAACCTGGCTTTGAGGAATTAAAAAGGATTAATTATAACATTGGGCTTTGGAGAAAATATTCAGAACTTGTAACAGAAATTTAGCAACCAATTTATACCAACCCATAAACACGTAAGACGTACATACTTATGGCCATCACATAATTAGACAAATAATTCATGAGTAAATTATATATGCAATATAAAATTAACTGTCCAATTGTTAATTGAAATTAGTGTACCTTATGAAGGAACTTCAAAATTCAGTGGGTATGAGCCTTTTAGGATTGAACTTGTTTAGCTTGAGAGGGATAAATGGCGATTTTTTTTTCCTTAAGGAAAGAATAGAATTAGGTCTTAATTTATTTATTTATTTTAGAGCTTTAATGTTTTGTGATAATAATTATGCTATTTTGATAGATTATATGAAGACATTACTTCTATCAATTTACTCATTTTGTGCCAACAAACCTTAAAAACATCCCATTTGATTCCATCAACCAAATTTCATTACGAAATCGGTGTTAATTAGCTTAATTATAATCAATGTACCTAATATAAAAAAAATGATTGATTACCATAACAAGTTTAGATGGGAAGTCTAATTATAAGCATAAAGTGTAATAAAAGTATCATATAACAATATTATAAATTTAACGAAGCTATATTTATGTTTTAACTTAGAACTATTAGGCACGGTGATGTTCGAGTTACATTCAACTGCAACAACATAGTTAGTCACTACAAAATAACAATAATGCAATTAATTTAAATAGACATGATAATTACGAAAAAGAAGAATGCAATGTTACGGTGGAAGTGGAGGCAATAGAAAAATTTAGATATATTGTTAAATGCTGGATTTTATTTAGATCTTAATGAAACATTTATTGTACCATCTTTTAAACGGAATTTGATTTCAATTTCTGCTTTGGATAAATCTTGTTATTCTTGTTCATGGGAATTGAAAGTTTAATTTGTTTCATGATTCAAAATTTGTTGGTTCCGATTCTTTATCAGGTTCCGATAATCTTTATTTAATTGATATGATTGCTTCTTTTAATGGATCATTGCATGTAAAGCAAGAATTATGTCTTGTTGTGGCACAAAAGATTAAGTCAAATCTCCAAGAGGAGAATTGAGAAACTTGTGTCTAACGAAATTCTCAATTCCCTTGACTTTACAGATTATGACATGCGTGTTAATTGTATAAAGGGAAAACAAACCAATAAAATGAGATTTCTATCCAACGGGACTTTGGACGTCTTAGAACTAATACATACGGATATTTGTGAGCCATTCCCTATAATTTCTTGCAATGATCAACAATATTTTATAACGTTCATAGACTTTTCTAGATATGACTATATATATCTCATTCATGAAAAATCACAGTCGCTGAATGTCTTTAAAAAAATTATAAAGCTGAAATTGAGAACCAACTCGACAAAATGATTAAAAGCGTCAATCTGATCGTGGTGATGAATATTATGACAGATATGACGGTTTAAGTGAACAACGTCCAGAATCGTTTGCTATGCCGGTTCGCCCACTATGAATGGTGTTGCTGAAAAACGAAATAGAACACTTAAGAACAGGGTGAGGAGTATGATTATTCATTCTACCTTTGCCAGAATCACTTTGGGGTGTAGTATTAAAGATCGCAGCGTATATACTCTAGGGGTGTAAGTGGTCCGGTTTTTGCGATTTTTGACAAATTTTCATACCAAACCGTTTTTACCGGTTTGAGAAAAACTCAAACCTAAACTAAGCCGTTTTGACCGGTTTGAAAAAAACTCAAACCTAAACCTAACAGTTTGGTCTGGTTTTAAACCGCCGGTTTCGCGTATATTTTTTTC